GCCCAGTCCGATGGCAGTAGCCCCCCATCAGGTCGTGTCTGGGTCTCATTGGAGTGCTCGACCGACCGCGGGCCGTGGGCCGTCGTGTCAGTCCTCTCATATATCTCTCACCGAGGGGCTCTTCCTTCGAGAAGGGCTGTGTCAGGAGCTCTTCAAGCTCCGGTGGGATCTGCCCTTGGTCGTCCCATCTGTCGTCCGAGGTGAGGTGAGGTGAGATGGGAATCCTGGTGGGGCGAGCTCACGACCGGTGGCCCACCATTGATTGAACGTGCTATTTGACAGAACCAGTTTTTGCTTAGATTGTTTTATGAGTCATATATCATCAGGGTGTGACCCTAGAAAATCAGGTCAACCATTTTAGACCTCGGCCGAGAGGAAGGCGCATGCGCACCGACGTCGGCCGGATCCTTGGACGTTGGGGAAGCCGGTCGCCGGATCGACGGGACCGGGAGACCCGGGTGGTGTGTCAATCCCCACGGGACCGGTCTATGAATTGAACCACTCAGACGCGAAGTCTGGACCCTGCGTGGACCGGGACCGGGGCCGTACCTAGCCGAATTCTATGGAGGGGTCCGGACCCGAACCAATCCCTATGGTCTTGAGGGCCCAAGGTCTGTTTGGAGCGTCTGGGCATTTTAACTATGCTGCTTCCAAGGGGTCACCACTGGATATCTCCACACTACTTATAGATCTCCAGACAGGGCACCCTTTGGAAGCGCTAGGCCGCTAGGTACCCTAGAAGTCGAACTTTACGATTTTACAGCACAAAACCACATCAACCCTATGCCACACATGGAGTGTCTGGGAATTTCAATTCCTATATGGCCGGGTCCGGTCCATTCCCACTCAACTCTGCACCTTGATCCCTTCACAGTGCTAGAGCACCTTTCCTACAGGTCTACGCCGAGACCCACATGGAACCTGAAAGCCACGTCGGGTTGTAGAGGAACATCGTCTTCCTTGCAGGTAGATTTTCTGGCTTGGCTTTCAAACTCTGGAGCCCTGAGCTGCTGAAAACCATGGCGCCCACCATGGCGCTCACCAGCCCTCAACCAAACTGTTCCCCCCTGACCTGCACGCGTTGATCGCACCTCCCCCAGCAGCCGGGACATCTGAGAATCTTGCGTCAGCATCGCCCATGCATGTCATGTCACTTCGATGCATGGAACATCTCTTCTCCCTATAAGAGACCTGTTAGCAGAAATGTTGGTAGAAGTGTATAGAGTCCGTTGCCATTCATATTGGACACCTCCTCGACAGCATCACGGTGCATCAGCACCTCGACAGCATCACCTCTTGCAGCACTCCTCGAAGCTCCCGACTCCGCGTGAAGCTGACAGCGACGCAGAGTCAGCGTCCCCTGGGCCTCCGCGCCCCGCACGACGGTGAGCCGCCGGCGCTTGGCCTCGCCGCTGGCGTCCGAGGACGCCGAGGCGTCGTCGCCTTCGGCGTCGGACGCGGGCACCGCCAGGCCGCCTCGGTCGGAGCTGAGTTCTGCCGAATGGGATGGACAAAGTCGTTGTTGTTTTACCGAAACACCAGCTGTTTTTAGTACCAGGATTTTTACAGACATTGTTAATGGTCTTGGAATGTCTTAGGGGGAGAGCTGAGTGATTGAAGCTGCTGTCAGATGTGTGTGAAGCACCGGAAGCACTGACTGCCGCACGAAGCCCGGGCCGTAGGAGACGCGATGAAAGGCATGCCCAGTCCACACTCCAGTGCCATCCGGTGCCAAAAGACCAATACTCTAGACTTCCAAGACCATGAAAAGACATGCTTGACCTGGTTGCGTATAGTCTACATCTACCAGCACCCGACTCTACAGGTCTCCTCTGGTTGCTTTTAGAAACTTTAAAGTGGTAGGTGGTGACCTGGCAGGTTTCGGGTGCTGGTATACAGAATACCTTAGGGTTCTTCAACCGACCTGTTGCTGGGTTCCAAGCGATCAGTTACGTCGGGAACCCCAGCTTTGCAGCGTCGGTTCCTGAGATGACTGAGACTCCCCTCCCAGACGCTCCGTGAAACCAGGCCTTTCCCGGTCCCTGGAAACCGGGACTGCTTCGGGTCTGCCTAGCGCTTCCAAGAGGTCCCCAATTTGGACATCTCCACATTACAGGTCTCCAGACAGGGCACCCCTTGGAAGCGGTACGACCCCTGACCCGAGAATTCGGGTACCCTGAGCGCAGGGTCCAGACTTCGCGTCTGTGCCACACTCCACGTCTCTTTCCGATTCCGATTCGGGGCGCAACATCCGACCGAACCGACCTTTTGTCAGATCTGATCACGGATCAGAAGAAGTGACATGGACGTATACAGTATACATATACCAGCACCTTCCAACAGGTCTCCTTTGGAGGATTGTTTGGCCCTAACAGGTCTCAATTGGTGACCTGTGAAGTCGGTGCTGGTATGGATGGGACCATTGGCCCATAAAAGATGAGTAGATTGATATACCCCATCTAACAAACATTTAAAGATTTTTGATGATTTTTGTGCCATCTACTTTGAGTCCACTCTAAAGCAATGGTTGACCAGCTTCGTCCGTTCGTGATCTCGCGCTGTTTTTCCGTCCCGGATTCTGATCCCCCAGCTCGCCAGGCCTGGTGAGCTCAGTTCCGTCACCGAAGCAGATCCCTGAAACACGGACGGACTGGGTCACCCGTTCTCCGCAGACCACTCCAGTGCCGGGTTCTTCCGGTGCGTCACGCGCCCGCCGTGTGCGTGACGCTGCAAACCGAGCGGCCTTTCTCCAGCCCTTTCACCATGACTCCGTCACACCATGGGCGTTGGTCCACCGAGGGCTGGCTTCGTTCCACCGAGGGAAGGGGGGTGTGGCGAGTGGAGGAGTGGGCGGAGTGACACAAGCCGTGCAGGTCGGGGTCTAGTCTGACGAGTCTGACGAGTCGTCTAGAAGCGCAGGACACGAGGCCTTGAAATGAAGCAAGTTCTGGGTCAGAGTTGGTGTTCTGGTCTGAGGAGGGTGTTCTTCCAACCCACATTCATTTCCACCAAAAGACTTGGAAGATCCTGGAGGATCAAGAACACCTAAATGGATGGCATTCGTCCTGGTCAGGTCGCCGGGTCGCCGGAGGGCATTCTTTTGGAGGGCGGACATGGAAGACTCACCAGACCGAAGACCCGAGATCATCGTGGAGGGTGTACTATACCTATATTGGCGTGTGGAGAGATGGAGTGTCCATGAACCTTTATAGATCTGATCGGTCGCCTGCGACTCGGCCAGTTAAAGTTTCTGGTCTCGTTCAGCTTGAGCTTTACGTGAGAGTTACACCGTTGCACCAAAAGCTGACGGAGACACAGTTTCCTCGGAGATTCACTACTTGGGTCTGCCTTCGGATCCGATCTGTCTCTTTGGCCCTTTGCTGCGCTGTCCCGCTGGAAGGATTTGAGCCAAGTTCGGCGCCAACGGCGATGCGTTCTCCTCGAAGCCCCCGTCCAGTTGACAGGTTGTTGAAACGGAACACGACCTGTTTGGGACCGGTTGTACCGATCAGTTGGCGTGGTTGCGACTGGGATCAGGATCGACATGGAGTGTCTGGCGCTTCAGATTCCTGGCGCATTGTGACGTGCCGAAGAAGCCCTGCTTTACTAGCCAGAGGTGGAACCCAAACGTTCGACTATCCTAAAAAGGCGGTACCCCTGGTGACGGGTCCTAGTTGAGGTCACCAACAAAAACCTCTGTAGGAGCTTCGTTCTGTAGTTCAGGTCCTTCCTCTGGTCACAGAAAACCTAGTTCAGGTCCTCTCTAGTTCACAACACCAGGACACCTTCCAAAACTCTTCTGCCCTTGGGACCCCCCCAAGTGGCGAAGACCCCGGTGGGAGACCGACCCGTTCGGTCCCGTCCGGTCCAACACCTGAGGGTCCTAACTCTGAGCCTTTTGGCGGCCTATCTGGGCAGGAACAACACTGGTCTGCTCACTTGAAGTCGATGAGGCGAAGAAGACGTCCAGTCAAGGGTCCATGCCGGCACCCCCGCATTGGAGACGGGGGGGCTCCATCAAGCCATTTCCGGGGTGCTGCTGAATAACTTCCCATCTTGGAATCCACTCGAGAACATTTTTCAGGCGATTCTTCGTTCCGTTTGGTGCACCTGGGGGGTTGTTCTCACCTGGTCTCTGCAGAAGTCAGGTCTGACCAACGCTGACGTGGTTCATCTGGGGCCAAGGAGGAGATTCCAGAAGCCATTCGTGAATCAAGGCCAGGGCCCCCCTTTTCGGGGTGTCCAATTATAGTTCCTTAGAGGTGATTCGGGATGTCCATTAACAACCCCAAGCAGGGGGCCCTGGAGGATGTCAATCCCCAGTCTTCACCTCTAAGAGACACTTCCGTCGAGACCTTCCGACCAGGTGAACCACCTTCCGACACCAGAGGCCCAAACCTCAAACAGTCTTGGATCCTGGTACAAGAAATGGTGCATGAAATGACATGAATACACCCGGTTGGGGCTCCTGTCCCATCTCCTCAGGTTCGGTGATATTCGACTTCCCTGGCACCCACCCACCCCAATCACCGAACCCTTTCGGAGGTGGGCCAACGGAGGAGACCGGTGGCTTACGGACGGCACATACCCCGTTCGCCTGCCAAGACCGTGAAGAACATGGGGAAAGACCATGGTCTGTGTAAAGTCCTTAGTAAAAGCTGATCAAATATAGTCTGAATACCGAAGAACGTCCTTAGGCTGAAACCGTTCTTGGTCAAAACTAGCTGTTTCTTTGGGACTCAGACTATCTTAGATCAATGGTGCGCCAGGAAGTGACCACCTGTCAGCCCCGCATCACGCATCACGTGCACCAAGACCCATCCATTGTAGACGCCGTGAAGTTGGGAGGTCCGAGGAATTCTTCATCTTCGGTGGTTTGCAGTGCGCCTCAGACTTCCTCCATCGCCCCCCAAAGCCCCTGGTTTCACTGCAGCCTCTGGGTTTTCTCATGAACCTGGCGCCCGTGACCTTCGCCGCGTGACCCGGCGTCGAACGCGGTCCTGGGTCTCCTCGTCACCTGCGACAGGTTCTTTGCAGTCGGTCCCTCCCCCCGCGTCGAACGCTCCGTGGAGGTCCCGTCGCCGACGGGTCACCAGGGTCCCTCCGGTCACAAGGATTGGTGAGAAGGTGCAGACCCCTGACCTTTCGGAGAACCATGCATTGATTTCATCGGTTTACACCGAAGAACCAGGCTGTTTTACTGATTCGATCTGATACACTACAAAGCCAGGCAGCCAGGCCAAGCATTTTTGGAATGGTCCAAGGCTAGGGTCGATGGCCTCAGCGTTCCCAAATTCAAAAGGTTTATCTGTTCATTTGAGCATCCAAATGCGAAGTCCGGACCGAATCCTGAGAGGGGGGGTTCTCACTGAACCCGAGGTTTTGAGGGACCAGGAAAGGCTCTGTTAACTGGAGCTGTTTAAGTCCAACAAAACATCCAAAAATATCCCTCAAGAGAGTGATCGTCGTTGGACCTGACATGGGCATTAAAACCCACGGAGACCTCCGAAACAACGGCCCCCTTGGAAGGAAAATAGACCTCCGTGTCTATCCATGGCAGCGGCGAGAAAAAAAAGGAGGTCTCCCCATTCATGTGACCTCTTCCAGTGGCTTTGCGGGTTGTGCCTCATGTAGACTCTTGACCAATCCCTCTCCATTTGGATTGCACAACCTCTTCAGGCCTTGGGGTACCTCTTATTCATCAAGCTAGACCAGGAGTCCATGTCGGGGGTGCCGAAGGCCGAAGGGAGGAAGGAGGCCAGGGTGCCCCTGGATGAGACGATCAAGACCACCCCGACTTGGAGGTTGGGGGTGCCCCGACTTCACATCCACTCACTAGATGAGACGATAGAAACCACCCCGACACTGTGACCCCTCAGAGTCTACATCACTTGGATTCTCCTCAAGCTTGGGTCGCCTGCCCCTGGCCGTCCCCGGGTCGAGGAAGGTGGGGGTGGGTGAAAACGGTTCTTCACATAAAAACCCTGTAGACTTTGGAGGAATCACCCCCATTTAATGAAGTTGTTCAATTCAGTTCATCAAGAGTCCTACATTAACTGGAGTTGGTCATCCAAAAAATAAAAAAAAGCATTCTATACTCAAGGGCTCGGTGTAAAGGACCAGCTTTGGATCTGGGTGAGACTGGACCTGCAGGGGTCCTTGACTTCGGCTGTGGGTCAAACGCCCGAGCCCGTGAAACGCCCTTGAGAATCCGTGTGATGTTTTTGTTCGGCTCTTCCTGCGCGTGATGTTTTTGTTGGGGGAATCCGTCCACAAACTTCAGGTCACCAGGAACAAACAACAGTTTCGATCCAGAGTCATTGAAGGTTCTTGACTCCTGCGATACCTCTTGACTCCGGGGGCGCGCGACCCATGTGTCGGAACGGTTCGAACCCACCCAACGCCCCACGCCGAGAGCGTGCTCTCCGTCCGAACCACGGGGACCTGTACGCCCGGGGAATGCCGGGGAATGCCGGTTCACATGCAGCGTATGCGCTGGGTTGTCAGGATCTGTGATCCGACGTGCAGTTCTTGGCATGCGCCCTAGAATCCATCATGTATAGGGTTGAGGTGTGCCTGCATTTCTCTTCCAACGAGACCTGCATTTGGTGATGGCCGGAGTAGTATATTCTAGGAGAGTTCACAAAAAGGAATAGGCAGCCAGGCATGAAAAGACCTTGCAGCGAACAATGAACTAAGCTTCAGTCTCTCAAAATGCTCATATTGGGTGTAATACCGAACCTGGGACCTGACCCTAGCACAACAAATATATGGCCTAACATCATATTGCAGTACAAAAACGGAGCATCCAGGTATACCGTGCACCGACGTAGTTGGATGGGTCACAAAACCGACGACTTGAAGTCGAGTTGTTTTTCGATGCGATGCATGTCGTGGGCATTGTCCGACCGACTTCTCCAATAAAACCTGCAGAGCCAACAGGGGCCGAGCGCGGTGACGAGCCAAGCGCCCGCGGCCAAGCGACCGGGCGAAAACGACCGTCCAATGGGAAGTGCGCAGCCACGAAGGATGGATCCATTGGACTGAGATTGTATGGCCCCGAGGTGGATGTTGTTGGCCCGCCATTAATTAATTGAAACTGGGGTATACCTGCCTATACCTGAAGCTTCCTGTTTGTGGTGCCCACCTTTGCTGGAGATCCATAAGTAGCCACCCCCGATTTCGAAAGGTGGTATATTGACCCTTGTTACCCTACCCCTGGCCTTTTCTCGGCAGTCCTATGCCAGTCCCAAAGAGGTGGTGTCTGGGACCGCCAGCCGTAAAAATGCGGGTCTTTGCAAATGCTCTGCGGGTCTTTGCTCAAACGCCCGAGGATCCTCTTTGGCACAGGTTCTTGCGGCCTCGAAACCCTGATGCTGAGGTTTTGCTCCAGCTCTTGCTAAGAATAGGTGCGGTTACCAAAGATTGCACACGTGATCGACCTAGTCCTGGCTAACCACAATAGATTTTGTTCGATACCCTCAGGCTCATGGACCCTCACCAACTCCTACATGTGTGAGGTCCAACACCTTAGTTGTGAGGGTCAAAACTCTAGCTATGAGGCTCCAATGAACCTTTGGCTAGTTGGGATTTGGCAGGAAGAACATGTTAAAATGCGTGGACGGTGCAGCTTTGGGTAGCAGCTTTGGGTGAAACCATGGCTTCGAGAGCTTTTTGGAGAGAAGGAGTTTAAACATGGGGTCTGGACCCTCAACACCCTTCCCATTTGAGGGCCCGGAATCTAAGGGTGGGACATCCAATGGGTGTCTACTAAGAAGTGTAGTGTAGTCCAGCCAGGACACCCAAACAGGATGCTCCTGGTATAACCTTAATTGATCTTTATTCGAGTTCTTATATCTGTGTGACCCGCTGTTCGTATATTGTCTTGAGCGTAGAAGTATCTTGGAACCGAGCAAAGTTTGGTCAATGAGCAGAATGCAGTCCACCTCCTCAGTTGGTGGTTTGGGTGGTGAATCTAGACTACTGTGGGCTTCTCTCTTTCGATACGACCACTATCAGGACGCCAAACAGGTCGGGGTCCACCCGGCGGCATCCCGGTCCGGCGGCATCTCTTGAAACATTTTTCTTTGAACACGTTGACATGACTTTTTCTTTCGATGTTGGTTTTCGCCGCCAGCTCGCCCAGGGGTTAGGGAACTCTCGATCCCAGGTCCGGCTCGTCTTTCGATCATTAGATACCGAACGACGACGCCTCGGTCGAGACGCTCCGATTTGGGCCCACCGACGCGGCCCTTTTCGACCGCGGTTGCGACCGGGCACAGCTCGACAGCACCGGTCATCGGCCAGCTGTCGGGTGCCCATCTTTGGCAACCTCGCGGCGGTCGGACTCCTTGACCCCTGGAGGTAGTCCAGTGAAGACGATTTTTGGGGGACCATCGAAGCAAAGAACAGTCCTATAGACCCGGGTCACCTAAAGACCATTTACAGAATGTGTACTTCATTGGGGTCAAGCATGGTACAATTTCAGGTGCCATGACCATCCATCTTCATCGGCTTGGATCTGTTTTTCGGAGAGGCCGTCCTTCACTCGACTTCGAGGGTATGGGTGTGGGTGAAATACCTCACCCTACAAGTCCTAAAAGGTTGACATTCCTTGAAGAGAAATCGGTTCTGCCTGTTCTGTGCCAGAGGCGTTGTCCCATTTTCGGCACTTAAGTCGGGTCCAAATGGATGTCATTGGTCAAACTCGACTTCCCATGGTGCCAGAGTCTTGCCAGGGATGGAGCAACCTGAATCAGCCACTGATTATTCCCTAGCCTAAGGGTCCAGGACCATGCCGAGGATGTCTTTTGGCCCCCCAATGCACCAAAGACCACTTTCACCTCCAAGACCATGCTCAGGTACCTGGACCCCATGCGATTTTTCTTTTCGGACTTCCTAGTTAGACAACACCGCTGTGGATCTGTCATGGCGTATTGGTGCAAGACCACTTGTGTGCTCTTGGACCATGCTTGGTGACTACCAATGATGCCTTTTGGGCGCAGAACTGTGAGCCAGCTTAGCGGAACACAGCTTAGTCGAACACTCAACGGCACTGGTATTCTCTCCGAAGGCACTTGGAAACATCTTGCAACGCCGACTGCACTTTTGAACGTCACGTTCGATGTGTCTCTCGTCTTCATCTCTGCACCCGACTGCTACCTTGGATGGACAATGGGTCGTCGTTTTCGTGCCCCAGACCCCCCTCCAGAGGTCCATTGAGCGTTTGGGTGAGTCATGGTTTCATCTTCCGGGCGACGAATGACGTCCAAATACCGCGCACCGGACCGAGGGTCGGCGCCGGTGCGGGTCGGCGGGGCCCGGTCACCGAAGAAGCGGGTCGCTCGAAGGAGTCGACGGTGCTCCTCAAAGTCAACGGAGTTCCCCAAGAAACAATCGAAAGACATGGTTCTGAAAGCCCTCTAGTGCCCCAAAACCACCCACACTGCTCACGGTCCAACCTTGTTCTACACGGCTGAGAGGTGCTCGCTCACACCACGAGCACCTTTGTGCCCGCAAGCGCCTGGAACGTGCTCGAAAAAGCGGCTCAATGAGCCAAGAAAACTAGACCAGCGGTCTCATGATCACCGGCGGCGGTCGGATGAAAGATGATGGAACGTCGTCCACAGTCAGCACTGGGAGCCGGTTCTCAAGCTGGAGCCCATGTTGGCACGGAACAACACTGGGTTTCTGTTTCCAGGCAATTTCCCATGGTTGAACGGTGGGTTCATTTCCCTTGGTTTCTTTCCCAGAAACCCACTGTAATCAAGTAATACCCTGAGAGTCAAAGACTATAAAAAGAATGGTCTTTAGGTGACCCGAAAAGGAATATCCTTTACTTCAGCCGGTCAAAATATAGTCTTTGGACTTGTAGGGAATATATCGATGGAGTCCCCGAGTCCCATCCGACTTGATCCAGTTGTTCCATGTCGCCGAACGAACGACACTCCTGACAGTTTGAACCCGACCTGGTGTGGTTTTTGGCGCAAACAAATCGTTGGAAGACCATCGGTGGACCATCGGTTGTTTGGTCCCAAAACCGTTTAAATCCAACGTTCCGTCGACTGGTTCTTCAACGTGACCACGGTCACTTGAGATCGGTAGCGGTCACTGGCTGGGACCCTGAGAGGGTTTGGGTCTCATGTACAGAAGCTGAATCCGGGTCTCGATGGCCTGATCGACCTCAAACTTCTGTATAGTACTAGTACTTGGACTGCCAGAATTATATAAGGTACACCTCAAACCACCCCTGGCCTGATCGGTAGCCATATGCCAGTCCCAAAATCACCCCGAGAGACCTGTAGTGGTACATATGGCATGGGCGATATAATCAGGCTGTTCAACGTCTCTGGGTACTGGTGCATCTTTCTTTGGAGGGTCCTGTCGTGGAACTCCTGGTTCTGCAAACATTCTCGCCCACCTCCAGACCGTTACGCCCACTCTCAAGGCGGCGTCGCAGGCCTGGCAGTCGAAGGAATCCCATCGAAGGCGTCGCAGCTGCAGTTAAACCCCTTCCCCCCCAAACAATAGACTCCACAGATCTGCTCTGGTGGCTGAAATGGAGACGACCCAAAATGGTCGGTGGTGACCGCTTTCGGGTGCTGGTCACAATCCATGGGACGGAGACCGAGGGCTGACCTGTTTCAGATGTTGCAGGGGTGATTTTTTCAGATGTTTGAAGGGTCGGTGCGGTATTTTTTGTTCGAAGCCAGTGGTTGGGACAGAGTTCCTTGCTTCGTTTGCTTCTGCTTGGGAAAAAATATCCCGATTCCGTTGGACCCTTTCAACACATGTTTGGCCGGTTCTTTGTAGGTCTTCAATCAGTTCTGAGTTCCCTGGCAAGGTTGGCCGGTCCGACCACTCCAGGACACCGGTCTGTGACGAGCGGTCCCGTTCCGAGCGTTTCAGCGTTACGGACGGCGGTCCGGTTCAGGAGCTTTGGACGATGCCACGATGCCATGATGCCGGGAAGATCGACAGCCCCGGCAGCCTCGTTGCCAACCGATCTTCAAACCCCACCCCCAAACGATCTTCGCAGACGCCATATGTTTGGTTTCGTCCTCGGCTCCCAGGAGCACCATTGGGCGACTAGTTCGTCTGACCCACCAGTTCCGCGGCGACCGCCACGGGCGCGCGCCACGCCGCACACCTCCGTCGCTGAGCGCTGCCCGGAAGACGTGCAGCTCTGGCACGTCAAAGGTCACCGGGCCCCAATCTGTGGCGCTGATCGGTGGAGGTGGGTGAGACCCTGCAAAAGCTGCCATGGGGGACCATTCTAAATGTCCAATGGACACCCTCACACCACTGGACTAGGGATCCATCCAGGTGCAAAAACAGGTGTTCTACAACAGGTGTTCTTCCAACATACTGGCTTTCTGTACTTCATGTGGTGCTTTCGATCTGGACTTCTGGCGTTGGTGGGAGCCAGTTCTTGTGGTTCAGTGCTCAGATCACCCCCTTTCATTCATCCCAAGTTGCTCCATAAAGCAGCATCTTAGCATCTGGAGGCCCAACAAACACCAGCCCGA